CATTATATTGTGGTCAAAATAGTTATAATTTTTGGTACAACTACATCCACACTCCAATCTCTGGTCCTCGGTCCTCCAGACTTGGAGTGTACCTGAACCACAGAGCAGGTATTCTGTCCTTCTACAGCGTCTCTGAAACCATGACTCTCCTCCACAGAGTCCAGACCACGTTCACTCAGCCTCTCTATGCTGGACTTCGGCTTTATGGTGACGTTGGAGACACAGCTGAGTTCATAAAACTCAAATAGACAAAAGTTACGTCAGATGCAGTTTGTTCAAATCTTTATTTTAAAGCTGAAACTTCTTAGTTTTCCATGTTTGTTGCTTGGAGCCTAAACTGACATCTGTCCAGATGAAAATGTAAACTTCTCTGTGCTCTAAATGTTGGAGGAATATTTGCATTGATGTGTTTGTGTGTTGTTGTGTCTCCTCCAGAGAAATCACCAGACTTTCCTTTATCACTGAGGTTTTGTTCTCACCACTTTGTCCATGTGTAAAGAAATCTATAATGACACTGACATGTGTTTGTGTGGCAGACCAGATGTTATTGTTGTCCACATCTATGGACCAATGAGGTGTGTGGTATATGGGGGTTTGACCTGTTATAACACTGTGATCATCGTGACCCTAATCAATAAGGAAATCAGTGGTTACTGACTTTTACACAGCTGAGATTTGGGTTGAAATGTAAATCAACTGATTGATCAGCTGATACACTATCACTTCGAGTGTGGTCTCTATACATGATATTAATCAGAATATATTACAGATACTATGTGCAAGACATCACTTGTTTTAATGCAGCTGTTTTACTCTGACAGCAGGAAGTCGAAGTGAGACTGGAAGTTTCCCCCATTAACTTCTGATGCTGGTCAAGACAGTTGGTAATAAAAACAACATGAAGCAAGTTAGGAAGAAAGACTCGGTCGCCCACACTGCAGATGTTCAGTTCACTGGCGTCACAGTGAATAATGAATGTAGAGAGGGCGACTGCACGGGAGAAGTCTTTATTGACTCATGTTATCAGGTAAGACAGAGCTGACCTGATGTAATTCTAGTTATATAAGAACAGGTGGAGCCCACTGTTGCTGAAGTGACATAGCTACTGTGTGGAAGGACAACATGGCCTGGACTTGATTGATATCAGAGGGTGTAATCCAGTGTTGCCCTTTAAAGCAACATAATGTAGTTGTTTCTGATGAAATTCCTGTTAACGCTGTTGCATCAAATATGCATCCAGCATTAATGGGAACATCAGGCCTGGCTTTGGGGAGTAACAGGTTAATGTGGCCATGCTTACACTAAATGTAAACATAAGAAAACTCAGGTCATTTCCCTGACAGGCTCCAACAACCTGGGCAGAAAAGGCAACAAGGAAAGAATTTTTGAAGCCTGAACAATAAACACATGTCAACTTAAGTTCAGAGCCAAATGAGCTGGTGCATTTAAGTCTGCAGGAAATCAGAGTTGTAGAAAATATCTTGTTTGATTAGAAGGTTTAAAATGATCTAATATTAAAATAAACAGTCTCATATGTGAATCAATTGTTATTTATTCAAAAGCATCTAAATGTAGCCGGGTCAAGTAATAAAATTACAGTTTCCTAAGGGGAGTAACTGAAACTCTCCCTGGTGCAGTAAGGTGTTGTTTAGTAGGTGCCCAGCGGGTGTCGCTATGATAGTTGTATACATGCAGTGCTCACCCACAGCTGTATGAAGGCGCATCTGTTGTGACGTCATCACTGTGTGACAGGCGAGTGTCCCGCGGGAAAAAAAGAGAAACAGAGACCGAGAAGGAGACAAAGAGAAAAACGCAGGGAAATACAAAGCTCCGTGACGGCGTAAGTGTCTGACAGAAATTATATGACGTCTGTATGGGTTACAGGTTGTATTTCTGTGTTTGACAACATTGTGAATTTGGCTTGTTCAGAGGGGAGACAACACTGTCTACGAGTTCGGGGTATTTACTCCAGCCTGAACAGGAATTCCGGCATCTTGAAGTGAGTTGAGTTGCTTCTAATGTGAAGTCTGAATATATTGTATCTGGAAAGTTATCTGTTGATATAGTTGTACCAGATTGTTCACGGATAGTTTTGAGTGTATATTCAGTCGTGTCTATTTTGTGCTGTTAGGAATAAGTCCACTACTGTTGTCTTGTTTTTTTGTTCGACATATAAAAAAAAAGGGACTGACATTTTTTATTTAAACCCTTCTGTTAAATAAAAAAAAAAAACCCAACTTCAACCAAAATTAATGCTGTCCTGTTATTTGATAACAAGGGCAGTCGGGAAATAGGACCCACATTTGTTTTGGAGCTGCAGGTGTTGGTCCGAAAACCATGCACCTGGCCATACAGTACCACATCGCAGCCCCAACATAAAGGAACGGCATTTTGCAGCTTCGGGGTGTCATTTAAGGTATGGATGAATGATTAGCGATCTTTGAATCTGAAGGTGTCACTATGCAGGGAGGGATGTTAAGAGGACGGAGCAGCAGGGGTAGAGAAACATCACAGATGAGTGCTGGATGCTGCAGGACGGGTCGTCGTCGCTCCAGCCGCCTCCAGTCAAACGGTTTCCGGCCAGCACACAACAACGGCAAATAGTGCACACAACAAATTGCGTGAAACAATATTACATATGGTACCTTTAAAAAAACGGCGAAATCTCTAGCCTATATGATATCGATCACACCAGTGGCGGGCCGTCAGGGCCAGCAAGGCCTCCTCTGCTTTTCTCTACGTGTATGCGGATTTTAGATTTTTTGTCCAATCAGATTTCAGCCTCTGTGTTGCCATGTCAATCTAATCTGCCCAGGGCTGATCGCACGGAAACTCGATGCCAATGCCAAATTCGGTCCAAAATGGGATTTTTTTTTAACATTGTGTTTCCACACACATTTCATTCTAAACAATAAAAGCCGTACTTGCCAGCTGCCGGCTCTGGGCTCTGCAGA